AATGCTGAGTCTGTGGGTAGCAGTGCTGAGTCTGTTGGTCTCAAATGCTGAGTCTGTGGGTCTCAGTGCTGAGTCTATGGGTCTCAGTGCTGAGTCTTTGGGTCTCAGTGCTGAGTCTGTGGGTCTCAGTGCTGAGTCTGTGGGTCTCAATGCTGAGTCTGTTGGTCTCAGTGCTGAGTCTGTGGGTCACAGTGCTGAGTCTGTGGGTCCCTGTGCTGAGTCTATGGGTAGCAGTGCTGAGTCTATGGGTATCAGTGCTGAGTCTGTGGGTATCAGTGCTGAGTCTGTGGGTCTCATTGCTGAGTCTATGGGTCTCAGTGCTGAGTCTGTGGGTCTCAGTGTTGAGTCTGTGGGTCTCAGTGATGAGTCCGTGGGTCTCAGTGCTGAGTCTGTGGGTCTCAGTGTTGAGTCTGTGTGTCTCAGTGATGAGTCTGTGGGTCTCAGTGTTGAGTCTGTGGGTCTCAGTGCTGAGTCTGTGGGTCTCAGTGCTGAGTCTGTGGGTCTCAGTGCTGAGTCTGTGGGTCTCAGTGCTGAATCTGTGGGTAGCAGTGCTGAGTCTGTGGGTCTCAGTGCTGAGTCTATGAGTCTGTGGGTCTCAGTGCTGAGTCTATGAGTCTGTGGGTCTCAGTGCTGAGTCTATGAGTCTGTGGGTCTCAGTGCTGAGTCTATGAGTCTGTGGGTCTCAGTGTTGAGTCTTTGAGTCTGTGGGTCTCAGTGCTGAGTCTATGAGTCTTTGGGTCTCAGTGTTGAGTCTATGACTCTGTGAGTCTTTGGGTCTCAGTGCTGAGTCTATGAGTCTGTGGGTCTCAGTGCTTAGTCTGTGGTCTCAGTGCTGAGTCTGTGGTCTCAGTGCTGAGTCTATGAGTCTGTGGGTCTCAGTGCTGAGTCTATGAGTCTGTGGGTCTCAGTGCTGAGTCTATGGGTCTGTGGGTCTCAGTGCTGAGTCTATGGGTGGCAATGCTGAGTCTGTGGGTCTCAGCGCTGAGTCTGTGGGTCTCAGTGTTGAGTCTATGAGTCTGTGGGTCTCAGTGCTGAGTCTGTGGGTCTCAGTGCTGAGTTTGTGGGTCTCAGTGCTGAGTCTGTGAGTCTGTGGGTCTCAGTGTTGAGTCTATGAGTCTGTGGGTCTCAGTGCTGAGTCTGTGGGTCTCAGTGCTGAGTCTGTGAGTCTGTGGGTCTCAGTGTTGAGTCTGTGGGTCTGTGGGTCTCATTGCTGAGTCTGTGAGTCTGTGGGTCTCAGTGTTGAGTCTATGAGTCTGTGGGTCTCATTGCTGAGTCTGTGGGTCTCAGTGTTGAGTCTATGAGTCTGTGGGTCTCAGTGTTGGGTCTATGAGTCTGTGGGTCTCAGTGCTGAGTCTATGAGTCTATGGTCACAGTGCTGAGTCTATGAGTCTGTGAGTCTGTGGTCTCAGCGCTGAGTCTATGAGTCTGTTGGTCTCAGTGTTGAGTCTATGAGTCTGTGGGTCTCAGTGCTGAGTCTCTGGGTCTCAGTGCTGAGTCTATGGGTCTCAGTGCTGAGTCTGTGGGTCTCACTGCTGAGTCTATGAGTCTGTGGGTCTCAGTGCTGAGTCTGTGAGTCTGTGGGTCTCAGTGCTGAGTCTATGAGTCTATGGTCTCAGTGCTGAGTCTGTGCGTCTCAGTGCTGAGTCTGTGGGTCTCAGTGCTGAGTCTGTGGGTATCAGTGCTGAGTCTGTGGGTATCAGTGCTGAGTATGTGGGTCTCTGTGCTGAGTCTGTGGGTCTCAGTTGTGAGTCTGTGGGTCTCAGTGCTGAGTCTATGGGTGTCAGTGCTGAGTCTGTGGGTCTCAGTGCTGAGTCTGTGGGTCTCAGTGCTGAGTCTATGGGTCTCACTGCTGAGTCTGTGGGTCTCAGTGCTGAGTCTATGGGTCTCAGTGCTGAGTCTTTGGGTCTCAGTGCTGAGTCTATGGGTCTCAGTGCTGAGTCTTTGGGTCTCAGTGCTGAGTCTGTGGGTCTCAGTGCTGAGTCTGTGGGTCTCATTGCTGAGTCTGTGGGTCACAGTGCTGAGTCTATGGGTCTCAGTGCTGAGTCTATGGGTGGCAGTGCTGAGTCTGTGGGTCTCAGTGCTGAGTCTGTGGGTCTCAGTGCTGAGTCTATGGGTCTCACTGCTGAGTCTGTGGGTCTCAGTGCTGAGTCTATGGGTCTCAGTGCTGAGTCTTTGGGTCTCAGTGCTGAGTCTCTGGGTCTCAGTGCTGAGTCTTTGGGTCTCAGTGCTGAGTCTGTGGGTCTCAGTGCTGAGTCTGTGGGTCTCAATGCTGAGTCTGTGGGTCACAGTGCTGAGTCTATGGGTCTCAGTGCTGAGTCTTTGGGTCTCAGTGCTGAGTCTGTGGGTCTCAATGCTGAGTCTGTGGGTAGCAGTGCTGAGTCTGTGGGTCTCAGTGCTGAGTCTGTGGGTCTCAGTGCTGAGTCTGTGGGTCTCAGTGCTGAGTCTGTGGGTCTCAATGCTGAGGCTGTGGGTAGCAGTGCTGAGTCTGTTGGTCTCAAATGCTGAGTCTGTGGGTCTCAGTGCTGAGTCTATGGGTCTCAGTGCTGAGTCTTTGGGTCTCAGTGCTGAGTCTGTGGGTCTCAGTGCTGAGTCTGTGGGTCTCAATGCTGAGTCTGTTGGTCTCAGTGCTTTGTCTGTGGGTCACAGTGCTGAGTCTGTGGGTCCCTGTGCTGAGTCTATGGGTAGCAGTGCTGAGTCTATGGGTATCAGTGCTGAGTCTGTGGGTATCAGTGCTGAGTCTGTGGGTCTCATTGCTGAGTCTATGGGTCTCAGTGCTGAGTCTGTGGGTCTCAGTGTTGAGTCTGTGGGTCTCAGTGATGAGTCCGTGGGTCTCAGTGCTGAGTCTGTGGGTCTCAGTGCTGAGTCTGTGTGTCTCAGTGATGAGTCTGTGGGTCTCAGTGTTGAGTCTGTGGGTCTCAGTCCTGAGTCTGTGGGTCTCAGTGCTGAGTCTGTGGGTCTCAGTGCTGAGTCTGTGGGTCTCAGTGCTGAGTCTGTGGGTAGCAGTGCTGAGTCTATGGGTCTCAGTGCTGAATCTGTGGGTAGCAGTGCTGAGTCTATGGGTCTCAGTGCTGAGTCTATGCGTCTCAATGCTGAGTGTGTGGGTCTCAGCGCTTAGTCTGTGGGTCTCAGTGCTGAGTCTATGAGTCTGTGGGTCTCAGCGCTTAGTCTGTGAGTCTCAGTGCTGAGTCTATGAGTCTGTGGGTCTCATTGCTGAGTCTATGAGTCTGTGGGTCTCAGTGCTGAGTCTATGAGTCTGTGGGTCTCAGTGCTGAGTCTATGAGTCTGTGGGTCTCAGTGCTGAGTCTATGAGTCTGTGGGTCTCAGTGCTGAGTCTATGAGTCTGTGGGTCTCAGTGTTGAGTCTATGAGTCTGTGGGTCTCAGTGCTGAGTCTATGAGTCTTTGGGTCTCAGTGTTGAGTCTATGACTCTGTGAGTCTGTGGGTCTCAGTGCTGAGTCTATGAGTCTGTGGGTCTCAGTGCTTAGTCTGTGGTCTCAGTGCTGAGTCTGTGGTCTCAGTGCTGAGTCTATGAGTCTGTGGGTCTCAGTGCTGAGTCTATGAGTCTGTGGGTCTCAGTGCTGAGTCTATGGGTCTGTGGGTCTCAGTGCTGAGTCTATGGGTGGCAATGCTGAGTCTGTGGGTCTCAGCGCTGAGTCTGTGGGTCTCAGTGTTGAGTCTATGAGTCTGTGGGTCTCAGTGCTGAGTCTGTGGGTCTCAGTGCTGAGTTTGTGGGTCTCAGTGCTGAGTCTGTGAGTCTGTGGGTCTCAGTGTTGAGTCTATGAGTCTGTGGGTCTCAGTGCTGAGTCTGTGGGTCTCAGTGCTGAGTCTGTGAGTCTGTGGGTCTCAGTGTTGAGTCTGTGGGTCTGTGGGTCTCATTGCTGAGTCTGTGAGTCTGTGGGTCTCAGTGTTGAGTCTATGAGTCTGTGGGTCTCATTGCTGAGTCTGTGGGTCTCAGTGTTGAGTCTATGAGTCTGTGGGTCTCAGTGTTGAGTCTATGAGTCTGTGGGTCTCAGTGCTGAGTCTATGAGTCTATGGTCACAGTGCTGAGTCTATGAGTCTGTGAGTCTGTGGTCTCAGCGCTGAGTCTATGAGTCTGTGGGTCTCAGTGTTGAGTCTATGAGTCTGTGGGTCTCAGTGCTGAGTCTCTGGGTCTCAGTGCTGAGTCTATGGGTCTCAGTGCTGAGTCTGTGGGTCTCACTGCTGAGTCTATGAGTCTGTGGGTCTCAGTGCTGAGTCTGTGAGTCTGTGGGTCTCAGTGCTGAGTCTATGAGTCTATGGTCTCAGTGCTGAGTCTGTGCGTCTCAGTGCTGAGTCTGTGGGTCTCAGTGCTGAGTCTGTGGGTATCAGTGCTGAGTCTGTGGGTATCAGTGCTGAGTCTGTGGGTCTCTGTGCTGAGTCTGTGGGTCTCAGTGCTGAGTCTGTGGGTCTCAGTGCTGAGTCTGTGGGTCTCAGTTGTGAGTCTGTGGGTCTCAGTGCTGAGTCTGTGGGTCTCAGTGCTGAGTCTGTGGCTCTCAGTGCTGAGTCTGTGGGTCTCAGTGCTGAGTCTATGGGTGGCAGTGCTGAGTCTATGGGTCTCAGTGCTGAGTCTGTGGGTCTCAGTGCTGAGTCTGTGGGTCTCAGTGCTGAGTCTGTGGGTCTCAGTGCTGAGTCTTTGGGTCTCAGTGCTGAGTCTGTGGGTCTCAGTGCTGAGTCTGTGGGTATCAGTGCTGAGTCTGTGGGTCTCTGTGCTGAGTCTGTGGGTCTCAGTGCTGAGTCTGTGGGTCTCAGTGCTGAGTCTGTGGGTCTCAGTTGTGAGTCTGTGGGTCTCAGTGCTGAGTCTGTGGGTCTCAGTGCTGAGTCTGTGGCTCTCAGTGCTGAGTCTTTGGGTCTCAGTGCTGAGTCTGTGGGTCTCAGTGTTGAGTCTGTGGGTCTCAGTGCTGAGTCTGTGGCTCTCAGTGCTGAGTCTGTGGCTCTCAGTGCTGAGTCTCTGGGTCTCGGCGCCGGGTCCGCGTCTTCCCTCACCGAGAGTTGCTCCTTCGCCGTGTCCACGGTGGTGAAGGGGCCGGCGGCGTTGCCGGCGGCGGCGGCGGCGTCGGCGCTGGCGCTCGGGGTGCTCAGGTAGTTGATGGCCGCGTACTCCAGGACCGAGAGGAAGACGAAGACGAAGCTGGCCCAGAGGTAGACGTCCACCGCCTTCACGTACGAGACGCGAGGCATGGACGCGTTGACGCCCGTGATGATCGTCGACATGGTGAGCACCGTGGTGATGCCTGGGCGGTGAGCGGGGAGGGTGCACGTGGTGAGGGTCTTGGGTGGTGAGCGGGGAGGGGTCACGTGGTGAGGGTCTGGGTGGTGAGCGGGGAGGGTCACGTGGTGAGCGTCTTGGGTGGTGAGTGGTGAGGGTGCACGTGGTGAGGGTCTTGGTGGTGAGCGGGGAGGGTCACGTGGTGAGGGTCTTGGTGGTGAGTGGTGAGGGTGCACGTGGTGAGCGTCTGGGTGGTGAGTGGTGAGGGTGCACGTGGTGAGGGTGCACGTGGCGAGCGTCTGGGTGGTGAGCGGGGAGGGTCACGTGGCGATCGTCTGGGTGGTGAGCGGGGAGGGTCACGTGGTGAGGGTGGACGTGGCGAGCGTCTGGGTGGTGAGCGGGGAGGGTCACGTGGTGAGGGTCTTGGTGGTGAGTGGTGAGGGTGCACGTGGTGAGCGTCTGGGTGGTGAGCGGGGAGGGTCACGTGGTGAGGGTGCACCGTGGCGAGCGTCTGGGTGGTGAGCGGGGAGACGTTGCGGGCGCCAACCTGCTCACCCACCCACCTACCCACTCAGTCACTCACCCACCCAGTCACCCACCCACTCACCTACCCACTCACCCACCCACTCACCTACTCACACACTCAATCACCCCCCCCCCACTCACCAACTCACTCAGCCACCCCCCCACCCACTCACCCACTCACTCACCCACCCACTCACCCACCCACTAACCCACTCACTCACTCAGTCACTCACTCACCCACCCACTCACCCACCCACTAACCCACTCACTCACTCAGTCACTCACTCACCCACCCACTCACCCACTCACTCACCCCCCCACCCCCACCCCCCCCCCCACCACCACCACCACCCCCCCCCCCCCTGTACCAAGTGGAACTCGTGCTGGCACGGCTCTGCGGTCGATCCAGAAGGAGACCCAGGACAGCATCACCATCAGAGCCGCAGGGAAGTAGGTCTGGAGCAGGAAGAAGTGAATGTGTCTCCTCAACGTGAAGATCACGTACAGACGATTGTACCAGCCTGGTGAAACACAGGGAGACACAGGGACACACATGGAGACAGTGAGACACAGGGTGACACAGGGAGATACAGGGAGACACAGGGAGACAGTGAGACACAGGGAGACACAGAGAGACACAGTGAGACACAGAGAGACACAGGGAGACACAGGGAAGTAGGTCTGGAGCAGGAAGAAGTGAATGTGTCTCCTCAACGTGAAGATCACGTACAGTCGATTGTACCAGCCTGGTGAAACACAGGGAGACACAGGGAGACACAGGGAGACTCAGGGACACAGAGAGACACAGGGAGACACAGGGAGACACAGGGAGACACCGGGAGACACAGTGAGACACAGGGAGACACAGGGACACAGGGAGACACAGGGAGACACAGAGAGACACAGGGAGACACAGTGAGACACAGGGAGACACAGGGAAGTAGGTCTGTAACAGGAAGAAGTGAATGTGTCTCCTCAACGTGAAGATCACGTACAGTCGATTGTACCAGCCTGGGGAGACACAGGGAGACACAGGGACACAGTGAGACACAGGGAGACACAGAGAGACACAGGGAGACAGTGAGACACAGGGAGACACAGGGAAGTAGGTCTGTAACAGGAAGAAGTGAATGTGTCTCCTCAACGTGAAGATCACGTACAGTCGATTGTACCAGCCTGGTGAGACACAGGGAGACACAGGGAGACAGTGAGACACAGGGAGACACAGGGAGACACAGGGAGACACGTGGAGACACAGGGAGAAACAGGGAGACAGTGAGACACAGGGAGATACAGGGAGACACAGGGAGACACAGTGAAGTAGGTCTGGAGCAGGAAGAAGTGACTGTGTCTCCTCAACGTGAAGATCACGTACAGTCGATTGTACCAGCCTGGGGAGACACAGGGAGACACAGGGAGACAGTGAGACAGTGAGACACAGGGAGACACAGGGACACAGTGAGACACAAGGAGACAGTGAGACACAGTGAGACACAGTGAGACACAGGGAGACACAGGGAGACAGAGAGAAACAGAGAGACAGTGAGACACAGGGAGACACAGAGAGACAGGGAGACACAGGGAGACACAGGGAGACAGTGAGACAAAGGTAAACACAGGGAGACACAGAGAGACACAGAGAGACAGTGAGACACAGGGAGACACAGAGAGACAGGGAGACACAGGGAGACACAGGGAGACAGTGAGACACAGGGAGACACAGTGAGACACATGGAGACACAGGGAGACACAGTGAGACACAGGGAGACACAGGGAGACAGAGAGAAACAGAGAGACAGTGAGACACAGGGAGACACAGGGAGACAGTGAGACACAGGGAGACACAGTGAGACACAGGGAGACACAGGGAGACACAGGGAGACAGTGAGACACAGGGAGACACAGGGAGACAGGGAGACACAGGGAGACACAGGGAGACACAGAGAGACACAGGGAGACACAGGGAAACAGGGAGACACAGGGAGACACAGGGAGACACAGTGAGACACAGGGAGACACAGGGAAGTAGGTCTGGAGCAGGAAGAAGTGACTGCGTCTCCTCAACGTGAAGATCACGTACAGTCGATTGTACCAGCCTGGTGAGACACAGGGAGACACAGTGAGACACAGGGAGACAGTGAGACACAGGGAGACACAGGGAGACAGTGAGACACAGGGAGACACAGGGAGACAGGGAGACACAGGGAGACACAGAGACACAGGGAGACACAGGGAGACACAGGGACACGGTGAGACACAGGGAGACAGTGAGACACAGGGAGACACAGGGAGACAGTGAGACACAGGGAGACACAGGGAGACAGGGAGACACAGGGAGACACAGGGAGACACAGAGACACAGGGAGACACAGAGAGACAGGGAGACACAGGTAGACAGGGAGACACAGAGAGACTCAGGGAGACACAGGGAGACAGAGACACAGGGAGACGCAGAGAGACAGGGAGACACAGGGAGACACAGGGACACAGGGAGACACAGGGAGACACAGGGAGACAGAGACACAGGGAGACAGTGAGACACAGGGAGACACAGTGAGACACATGGAGACACAGGGAGACACAGTGAGACACAGGGAGACACAGGGAGACACAGGGAGACAGAGAGAAACAGAGAGACAGTGAGACACAGGGAGACACAGGGAGACAGTGAGACACAGGGAGACACAGTGAGACACAGGGAGACACAGGGAGACACAGGGAGACAGTGAGACACAGGGAGACACAGGGAGACAGGGAGACACAGGGAGACACAGAGAGACACAGGGAGACACAGGGAAACAGGGAGACACAGGGAGACACAGGGAGACACAGTGAGACACAGGGAGACACAGGGAAGTAGGTCTGGAGCAGGAAGAAGTGACTGCGTCTCCTCAACGTGAAGATCACGTACAGTCGATTGTACCAGCCTGGGGAGACACAGGGAGACACAGGGAGACAGTGAGACACAGGGAGACACAGGGAGACACAGGGACACAGAGAGACACAGGGAGACACAGAGAGACACAGAGAGACACAGAGAGACACAGGGAGACACAGGGAAGTACGTCTGGAGCAGGAAGAAGTGAATGTGTCTCCTCAACGTGAAGATCACGTACAGTCGATTGTACCAGCCTGGTGAGACACAGGGAGACACAGTGAGACACAGGGAGACAGTGAGACACAGGGAGACACAGGGAGACAGTGAGACACAGGGAGACACAGGGAGACAGGGAGACACAGGGAGACACAGAGACACAGGGAGACACAGGGAGACACAGGGACACGGTGAGACACAGGGAGACAGTGAGACACAGGGAGACACAGGGAGACAGTGAGACACAGGGAGACACAGGGAGACAGGGAGACACAGGGAGACACAGGGAGACACAGAGACACAGGGAGACACAGAGACACAGGGAGACACAGGTAGACAGGGAGACACAGGGAGACTCAGGGAGACACAGGGAGACAGAGACACAGGGAGACACAGGGACACAGGGAGACAGGGAGAGATGGTAGTGGTAGTGATGGTGGTAGTGATGGTGGTAGTGATGGTAGTGGTGGTATTGATGGTAGTGATGGTAGTGATGGTGGTAGTGGTGGTAGTGATGGTAGTGATACTAGTGGTGGTAGTGGTGGTAGTGATGGTAGTGATGGTGGTAGTGATGGTAGTGATGGTAGTGGTGGTAGTAGTGATGGTGGTAGTAGAGGTGTTAGTAGAGGTACCAGCTACCGGTACTTCTGTAGTAGGCGAGTCTCGATGCGGTGTGGAGGTCGTGGATCAGGAACTGATGGTAGTGATGGTGGTAGTGGTGGTAGTGATGGTAGTAGTGGTGGTGGTGGTACTGTGGTAGTGATGGTAGTAGTGGTGGTAAGTAGTGACGATGGTAGTGGTGGTAGTAGAGGTAGTGATGGTAGTGATGGTGATGGTAGTGATGGTATTAGTAGTGGTGGTAGTGGTAGTGACGGTGGTATTGATGGTAGTAGAGGTAGTGATGGTGGTGATGGTGGTGGTAGTGATGGTAGTAGTGGTGGTGGTAGTAGTGATGGTATTAGTAGTGATGGTAGTTGTAGTGATGGTGGTAGTGGTGGTAGTGATGGTGGTAGTGGTGGTAGTGATGGTGTTAGTAGTGGTAGTGATGGTAGTAATAGTGGTAGTGGTATTAGTGATGGTAGTAGTGGTGGTAGTGGTGATAGTAGAGGTAGTGATGGTGGTAGTGATGGTAGTAGTGATGGTAGTAGTAGAGGTGGTAGTGATAGTAGTGATGGTAGTAGTGATGGTAGTAGTAGAGGTGGTAGTGATAGTAGTGATGGTAGTAGTGATGGTAGTAGTGATGGTGGTACTGATGGTAAGTAGTGATGGTAGTGATGGTAGTGATAGTAGTAGTGGTGGTAGTGGTGATAATGGTAGTGGTGGTAGTAGTGGTGGTAGTAGTAGTGGTAGTAGTGACGATGGTAGTGGTGGTAGTGATGGTATTAGTAGTGATGGTAGTAGTGATGGTGGTAGAGGTAGTAGTAGAGGTAGTGATGGTGGTAGTGGTGGTAGTGGTGGTGGTAGGGATGGTGGTAGTAGTGGTAGTA